TATTTTTGATATAGTTCAAATAGAAATTACTTAACATTTACAAATGAAATTCTCAGTTTGTAGGATTATATTGTGACTTATATAAAATCACTAAAGCTGTCCTTTAACATAGAGGCTCCATACCTAAGGCAGCCGGCTGTGTTGGTCAGGGCCGTCTCCCACTCCAGATGCCGGGGTTTGCAGTTCTCCTCACCCCCTCCAGCTCCATTGCTTCCCCTCTCCCAGCCCGAGTGAGGCACCAACACCTCATCAGCCAAAGCGTGAAGCGCATGGTCCACAATCTCCATCTTCACTGAGTCGTGTGAGGACAGGTTCCACAGTGTCCCTGAAAGCAAGACGTTAAGCCTGTTAGAATGATGTGGTTCTTGCATAGTTCAAAAATAACCTTAAACAATAAGCATTTGAGTTGAGGGAAAACAAAATATAACTTTTTCCAAGCACCTGACACACTTATTTATTTGTCTTATGGTCAGTAAATATAATGGTGTATTTTGAAACAGTTTTTTCCTTTTAATAGTAATATCATATGTTATCATGTCATAATACATATCAACTCCTTTCACTCTTTCCACCTTCTTTTTGGGCACAATAATTTATCATTTCAAGTGTGTGTGTGTGTGTGTATGTATATATTATATATTTATATATATTTATATATGTGTGTGTGTGTGTGTGCATGTGTATATATGTACCATCTTTAACCACTAATTCCCTATTACAGCAAAAAAAAAAAACTAAAACATTTAAAAAAGAATGCAGTTCACTGCTTTACATGTCAAGAATAATTGATTAATTCTCTGAAATATATGGGTTTGTAAACAGATACTAGTGCATACTACTACTGTATACTGTGTGTATACTGTGAACTAACATAAAAAAAAGAGGACGTTTTTTAACCTGTGATGGAGTCAGTAAGTTCCTGGTCGCGGGTTTTTCGCAGCAGTCGGATCAGTGCAGGGACACCATCACAGTTTTTTATGGCGATCTTGTTGTCTGGGTCTTTGCCATAAGAAATGTTCTTTAGTGCTCCACAGGCTGCATAGTGAACCTGTTAGAGAAAAGACATAGATATATTAGTCCAGGCAATTAGCAATATCCATTTATTAACTTATTTAAAATTGTTGCTTGCATATTATAAATGAAAAAATATATAATACAAAACACTACAGCAGCCATATCTGCCACGGCACTAATAGAAAAATAACTGTCAATTTGCAAAAATTACATCTCTGAACACCACCATGTCAGTCACACAACACAGTCAAAACTGTAAAAATTTGGAATGTCTCTTTAAAATGCTTCAAAAACACTGTATTATTACTAACAACAGTCCTTCCCATACAAGAAGACCTTACCAAAAGCATGTACTTAAACGATACCACATTGTTGGTTTTTTTTTCCAAAGACAAAACACAAAACATAAAAATACAAATCATAATACACATAATAAAATATCAAAGTTAAAACTGCAGTAGTGGTTTGACCCATTTCTGAGGCCAAATAGTCATCAGGCCTCAAACTGCACTGACCATAGAGGGATGAAATGCCAAATTAAGTTGCTTCTCAGCTGCAGGAATGTATGGTGTGGTTTGGAGGGTAATGCCATACAAACATCAGCAAAATGGTGGCCACAGCTTAGGCGGAATGAGAGGGAGTCCAAGGAAAAGCAGACAGATCATTTTTAACATGAGAGCTGACCTTCAGGATTTGCCCGGGAAGACTGAGATATTTGCGTATTTCCATGCACTTTGGTATTAGAGGCATGTCTTAAGTTCACCCAAACCAGGGATGTCCAGACATTTTTTCCCGCAGAATCGCATATTGAAGTGCATTTGAAGCAGAGGGCCACAGCCCAGCAATATAGCGAGTTTTTCAGATGGGTTTATTTGACATAGCCACTGTAGTTTTAATAATTGAAACACAAATGTGAGGTCTGTATCACAATGCAAAGAGATGTTACTGAGGTTACAGTGGTAGAACTATATACATTGTAAAAAGTACTACCTACCATCATTTGGGTCAATTAAAAATTGGTTTGAGGGCTGCATTTGACCCTCAGGCCATAGCGTGGACATCCCTAATTTAAACTAAGGTTTAAATATAGTTCACAATTTAATCAGAAATTGAATCGCTGTGATTTAAATTAATGTGATTCTTGTATAAGTTTAGCAGTTCATATTTTAGCATGCTTTCAAAAGTGTTTTAAATGCGCACTGCGAAGCGATTCTTAACTTTAGAGAAACACAAAAAAATCTAATTGCAATATTGAGATATCATTACATATAAAGCAATAACATTCATGGAGATAAGAAGGTGAAAGAAACTATGAGAAAAGTGCACCTGTAATCTCATGAAAAACGGTAAATCCAAAAACATGGCACACTAACCTCTCTGTTTGGGTTGTCAAGCATCGAGACCAGTGCTGGGATGCCTTTGAGACGACGTACATCAGTTTTCACCTGAAATACACATGAGCAAATACCACTGAATCAAAGACCTTAACTTAGAAATCCCTACTGAATTCATCACAATGCTAGATGACTCCCAGATGACCAAATAATAGGAAAATATATTGTCTGATTTTGTTATTGTAGTACATCAGATAACCACAAACTAAAAATTTCTACATTCTAGGATTAGTTAATCAGTTTATGTGTCTTTTCTCCTACATTAATGCTCCTGAAATAGTTTAAAAAACATGCACTCTGAACATAATCCTACTTTTTAAATACATATTGCAAATCAAATTACCCCTAATATACAAGCCCTAATATTTACCTTATCATTCTTGTAGGTGAGATGCTGTAGGTAAGCGGCTGCATTGCTCCTGACCGGGTCTAGCCTGTAGTTGAGCATAGCGATGACCTCTGGTAGCTCCGGTTGACGCCAGCCGCCGGGCCCAGGGGGTTTCCTCAGGGTGCTGTCGAGAGAAGCCATACTGCCCCTCTCGCCTTGAGCCAAAGGAGCACCCCCCCAGTAGTACATGTCTGCAGGACCACTCATATCGCCGTCTAAAGTGCCCTCATAACTCCTGAGAATGCAGCATGAAGGTAGGTTGGTGAAAGCAAGAAACGAGATGGAATAACAATTCGAGGTGGGAGATATATTTTAAAAAATAGTTAACATCAAAATTGATGTTTTAGAAATTACAAATTACAATATTGAGTATATATACTAAAAATAATTACTAAAAATTACCTCATAAAGATGGTGTAAGGGTGTAAGTGATATGTCTGGGTAATGAACCTCTAAACCTCAACCAAAACATTTACAGGCACATAGGCACATATTAGCACATTGCCAATGCCCACCCTTTGTGTTATGTTATCCTAATTTGTTGAATAATGAATCTAGTAATGTCAACATATGCATTAGGAACAATATATATTTTAATAGCCTTGAAGCCTTGAAGTAAAATAGAAAGAAACACAACCTCCCACCAATTAAAGTTTGTCGACCTTCAACATCATCAGAATAATCTAGTAATAATCTAATTACTATACCAGAATTTTGTAATTTATTAATTACTGTACCTGGTAATTAGTTAATGCAATAACTTAAAAAAGTAACAGGTAACTATAACTTTTTAACTTTTTGAATGATCTTGCCAACACTGCTTATCTCATAGGAATAATAACTTGTAACTTTTACTTAATTTAATAAAATGTCATCAATATTTTTTTTGTAGTTTAATGTGGTTGTTTTCTGAAACCAATAATGGTAAGAGTCCTGCACAGAGCAAATATGATTACAACAGATCAGTTTGTTTTGTCATTGTAGTAAAAATGTCATCATTGTGTATCCGTAACACATAAGAGTGAGATCATACCCTGCTCGTCGAGGCGGGGCGTGGGGGAAGGGGTGGTGGTTGCGGGGCACTGTGCTGTAGTGCATAGGATGTCCCATGCCATAGTCGGGCTCATAAGACCCCATGCTGCGCTGGTCGTCCTCTAAACCGTAGGGCTCAGGGACAAACCGAGGGATGGACGATAGCTCCATTGCACTGCCACGTCCAACCTACACAAAAAAGTAAATGTAAATATACATGGGTTTGAGTGTGCCTTTAAAGCCACCTTTAAACTGGAAGCTGAAACCCCTGAATATGACGAGATCTGTTATGTAAATAAATAGCACCAAAGCAGATGCATGAAATGGAGAGGCACACCAAACAAGAGTGTTGAAAATACCTGTGGCTGGGCTGCATAGGGGTCCAGCTGGCCTCTGCTCTGGGCTCTGTAGTTTGGATCTAATGTCCTGTAACCATCTGGATGAACTGGCCTGAAACAAGAATGGAATTAAAGATGAAAAACAGCATTATGTGAATAAGTCTTGTGTACTGAAGTTCAAGTTTGTGCACTTAGTTTTAAAGTAACTAATCTGCTAAAAAAGTGAGAACTAATTTTCTTTTTGAGCACTCAAATGCAGTACAATACAGGATTGCAATCAATCAAAATACTTCTCTGGGTAAGCTAAATATAAGGGAACACACCATTACAACATGGTTAAAAGCTCATATAAAAGTACATTTTACATAATACTCCCTCTCTACATCTTGCAACCAAACACAGCTGAGTACACACCTGTAGCGATCATCAATGCGGGCCCCTCGGGTAAGGCTAGCATAGGTGTCAGACGGGGGTCCTCCTCTGTAGTCGTCGTAGCCCCCTGGTGGTCCGTAGTGGTAGTTGCGAGGTACAGTGTGAGTGGGGTAGTCAATCGGCCCTCCTGGTGGTGGCCTGTAAGGAGTGGTGTAGCCCATCCCTGTCACTGAGCCACCTCCGTCCAGAGACATGGTGTCCGACACAGAGGGGATGACTGTGCGCGTGGTAGTGGTCTTTATTACTTTCTTTACCTGGAACAAACAGGAACATTGTAATAGGTCAGAGCAGAGCAGAAGATGGGGGGAAGGGGGCAAAGGGGTCTGTTGTCCTGGGCCCAGAACTGGAGCTTCTTCATATTAATTTATACTAGAGGAGGGGTCTGTGTGAGAATTCTTGTCCCAGGCCCCCAAATTTCCATCGACAGGCCTGGGTCAGAGGATATACAGAAGAGTTAACTGTGAGGAATGATGGTCGTAAAACCTATAATCACGTCTAATCAGTTACTGATGCAAGTTCATTACCATAAGAAAACAACATGCAACATATTCTGGCAGTTAAGGTTTCAAAGTACTTTCTACTATTTTACCAAGAGTCTGTTACTGTTGAAAGTATGTTTACTTTCAATAAGATAAAATGGACATACTGTAATTTCTGGCATCATATTCATAACTAGGGATGGGCACTGAAATGAAATTTTCTTAATCGATCGTCGGAAGAATTAACGATCGATTATCGATTAATCATTAACGTTTTTATATTAAAATGATCATCATTATTATTACTATCTGCACTACTAATGTGCATAAATAAATTCAACTTTACGACATATAAACCGTAATGACTCTAGAGCCACATCAATCCGTTTGAAATTATAATGTGTTTAATTCAGTTTTGCGCAACTCTCACAGAAACGAAACTTAAAACCACATCGCTAATTTGCATAAACTCAGCGAAGATAAAACTACAGCTCTTGTGCGCTGATGCGGTCAACTTCTGTCAGATTAAAAGACATGACTCGGTGGAATACAGGTTAGTGTGACCATATTTGCGTTTGTCAAAATCAGGACACCATACGGGTGGAGGGAGGTGGGGACTCGTCATCGACATTGCGCGACTCTCACCTGGCAAAACTTTTTCCCACTGGGCACCGAAACATATGTTCCTGCTTTGTACACTGTCCATATGGACTCCCACTTGTCCCGAACGCAACGGAAAGCGTGGAATTTCTTGTACAAATCATCGTTAAATACGCATTTGTGCTTCGGTACGCTGCAGACTGACCGACTGTTTGTGTCTCGCTCCTTCGGAGTGCAGAGAGCTACATGTACGGACCCCTGTTTGGTCACGCTACGCACAGCAACCTGCATTCGGTTTGTCGATTAAAATTAACGTAATCGATGAAATTCTTAATGATCAATTATCGATTAATCGATTAATCATGCCCATCCCTATTCATAACCAAACCAAAACTGTCTCTGAATAAACTAATGCTGGCATCATTTACAGTTAGCGGAAAGAAATTATGAAATCATTCATTTGGGATAGTTGCAGAACTTATACTGTCATAATAATTCAAAGAGAGCAATTTAGAGTTATAATATTATATCTTACAGTGTAAAATGGCAAAACATAGTGGTTTGGTTGTATAATATTGGAAATACATTTTATTTGTTTACATTGGTTTCTGTGCGGCGCGTGGTCCCATCCTCTCCAGTCTCCACAGTGATGACGGGTGGCTCTGGGGGCTGCTCCTCCAAGCTAAAGGACTCTTGCACCAGCTGACCCGGCTCCATCATGAACTACACACAAACAGCCAAAGAACCAGAGGAACCATTAACTTCAACAAAGACCACTGAATTATTCAACAGATGAAACGGAGAGGGCTCTTAAGGCGTGCTTACGTGATGTGTCCCGTTGATGTAACCCTCGTTCAGAGTCAGCCGTTCTAGGCCTGCATCAGGAATGCGCCCGTTCTAAAGAGAGAGGAAACATTAACATGAGCAACATGAATGAGAGGGGCTTTGAAAGTCAAAACAGTCAGCTAAGGTTAACCAGTAATGCCAGTGATGACATCAATTCAGACCAAAGAAGCAGTTTCAGCTTATGTACATTCAGTGGGTAAAAAAAAATGTCTTATATTATTTATAATAAACTATAGGGTAGCAATGATTAATTGTAAAAATCACGAGTTGTTGACTAGAAAAATTACTGTAATCAGATTTTGAGAATTTGAATCATTATGTGAATATATATATATATACACTCTAAAAGACGTTTTACAACAAAGACATTGGAACTGATAAAGTGTAAAAAATTATAATTCATCACTAATACACATTTATAATATTTTTTTCTCCACCTAGAAGACTTCAGTCACCATGTGTCAACCTGTATATGGGTAAAATTGTACTGAAAAGTCGACTCCTGCAATAATGGACAGTTGCAGCCCTAATAATCGATACTAGTGGTCGTCACAGTATGCACTTAATGTCAGTATGTACTTAATACATTTTTTTTGTCTCCTTAGTTTTAGCACTTATTTAGCCTATTTAGCTGGAAAAGTAATATATTATAATATAATATATGAAAATATATTGATAAGTTGATAAAATAAAATAAAAGACACGTAGACCTAGACACCTAGAAACATTTGCCCAATAGACTGTTACTGCTTGTTGCTTCCTTATATTGTACAAATCTTATATCACTGCAAAGGCAAAACAATGGAGAAGTTGACCAAAGTGGAGCAAATCTTTGCAGAAAATGAATGACCTTGATGATGGAAAACACAGATGGGGTGAAATGGTGAGTAATGGACAAATAGCAGCCAACAATAAAACCACAAAGCTTCGTGGAAAAATGCCTTGCCCCCAAGAGGCATGGGCGTGGTGCATTTCTCATTCCAGCCACAGGGGACGCTCTCTGCACCTCAACACTACCTTTACAGGTAAATCCCAGCTGCTCAGGGGATAGAGGGGTGTGATTGCTCAACACAAATTCTTCTGGATTTGGAGAGGCCTTTTTTATGTGACAAAAATGCTTTTATCAAAATGAGGCGCTAAATGGACAAATCTAACTGGTTTTAAAATGTCTACCAATCACTGAGAAGACTATTCACACACAATTTACAGGTTTGGACAAAGAAATTCGAGACTTGCGTTCCCAGAAATACAGTTGGGGGCAGATGTGAGCGTGTGGGAACCTGTCAGTGAAGGCTGAGTTCTGGGTTGCTGCCTGGGAGAGTGGCAGAGGCACGCTGGAGCCTCTGGGCTATGTAAACATAGTTATGTAGATAACAGCTAAAACAGGCTAACAGGTCAGTTATGCTAACTTTCCACAACACACCACTACACCTGTGCTTTCCCCTTTCACTTTATCAGAGGTACAATTTCACTGAGTCACTCCCAGATATGGAGTGACAGGCAATGGTGGTCATTAAAATAGCTGAGATGGTTTGAGTCGCCTAAAGAGCGCATCCACTTTCTACACCAGTGTTGTCAGGTCACAACATTTTTATACTTAAGGGAAGCCTCAATACGCAATACCAGTTTTTACATATATATATATTTTTGGTGACAATGTAATGTAATCTTGTTACAATAGTTAACTTTTACTTTCGCTTTTGTATGGATTAGTATCTGGATTTTTTTTTTTTTTTCACAACCCGCTGTAGATGCGATCAAATATTTCACATGGAGGACAGAATCTTACTTTTCTCATTGGGTAACAAAAATCACACATGACTCATTAAATAAGAACATTGTTTTTGAAGATGAACTTTGTGTGATTCTTTTTTTTATTTCATGTGGATAGACCCATTAAATATAGAGATATTACCCTCCAAAAACAGATCAAAAGCTACCATATAATTCGGACACCTCATTTTTAAGTAATGGGTTCTGCAGAACCTTACGACATCATGTGACACAACCCGTTGACAAACATACCTGACATGGTTTGCAGTAGCCTGTTGTAAACTGCAATATTAGCGCAGTGTGTCAATAGCCAAGAGGACACCAGGAGCTTGTGGGTGTGAGTCTACCTTGTACAATTAAAGCATGAAGTCACTTGTCTGAATCTGAACCAATATTGCTCGATAAGCGGGCACTGAGGGCGTGGACTGAACCGGCAGGACACTTTATCAGAACATCAAAGCCGAAAGAACAAGTTAGACACGACAACAAGAGATCCAAAAAGCAAAGGTTTGTTGATTTCTGAGAATTATCTGTATGAAAGCAAAATTGCACATTCCAACGCATGCTCATTATTATACAGACTGTAAACTACAAGAGTCACAATAGGTTAAGTTTGAGGAAAAGTATACACAACCACACTGACACAAGCTACTGATATTACATATAGCTCCAACCACCTCAAAGGGGCTTTAACAGCCTGGGGTTTACATAAACTTTCTATAATGTGAATTTATTTGATTTTCTCTGACCTATTTATTTGGCATAATATTGTACACCCACTTTACACACTTAAACCCAGCCTTTTCTCAAAGTTTAGGCTTCCACAAATTGTTTTTTGAGATGTGTTTCAGTCGATTCACTTGAGTATTGACGTTAAGTAGAGAGACAAGAGTGTTTTCTATCTACCCCAATTGAACACTGTACAACCCTGTATTGAAGGTTTCAGTGGTTTAAGTTTTCAAAGTAAAATTTGTGGACAGAGAAGGAGCTGGAGTGTGTCTCCTTTGATAAGTGATACTTTGAGAAAGAAGGATCTAAAGTATTAGGTTTCATTTTCCTCCAAAACACTAAATCCACCACCTATCATGATAATTACTATATCGATTTATCATTCATTATCAATAGATGAAAAATGTATCAATATTACATTATACATTATACATTATTGATGCTCATGCTTTAACAATATGGTTCATTTAGAAAGAGGTTTACTGAGATTATCCAGTTTTAGGGTTAATGTACCATATTAAGTAGTAGGCGCAACTTTATGATTTATTATCATATTTTCTGTAGCAATATATTACACTTCAGAATAGCATTGTGAACATTATTGTGACAGCCTTACAACTAACATCTTAGTATTCAATAATTAATTAGCTTGACACACTAAACTAAACAGCCGTTAAAGCCCTGGAGATGGAGTTTTCTTCAGTGTTAGTGCTTCAGACGGAATGAGGATGAACCATAATGACGGTGGATCACATGAACTCAGACCAGAGGAATGTCTTCACAGATACAGATGATGCAGAGGATGAGTTCAGAGTCAGATGGGATGGGCGTGTCTTTTTTGGAGGGGGGTTACCTGCATGTTGGGGAGGGGGCGGGGCAGGGTGCCAGCACACGACCTGCGCTCCTCCTCCAGGGCTCGACTCAGCATCTCAAACTGCCTCTCCTGCTCCCGCACAGAGGCCAGCAGAGAGGCCGTACTCGCACACTGCTCCATTCACACTGAGAGGGGGAAAGGGGCAGACCGGCACCAGGGTTGAAAGGTAGAAAAAAAAAAAACAGGGAGAACAATATCACAAAATTAAAAGACCCAATTAAAGATGCACAATATGTGGAAATAAGCACCAAGGTTAGAAGTTAGAAAAACAACAGGGGAAACAATATCACAAAATATACCTAAGAAAAAATTAAAAGACATACATTTTAGGTGCACAATATCTGAAAACGAGCCATTATATCCTACAATTAGAGTGAATATTGTGAGAGGAAAAGAACAAAAATAACAGGGTGACAAAGTGACAATGTTCGCATCCAATTAGAGGTAGGCAGATAATAGAAAAATAGGTAATATAGTGGATGCTGATGAAGATATTTAAAATTTAACTCTCAAATATGTTTATAACAAAAATGCAACAAAAAGAGTTGACTAAAATAATAACATAAAACAACTTTCAAATCAAAGTATAATGTGATATTTCTGCACTTCTGAGTCATTTTAGTAATATCACATTTTTCTGATACTTACACATTTAAAGATATGTTTTAACAGATTTCTGCTGGATTGACATAATATTGCATGCCTAGCGGTAGTCAAATATTTTTGTTCATAACAACAAACATATTGTAATATATTGTGCAACTATACATCAAAAGAAGAAATATGGAGTCAGTACAGGAAACTCAAATATAAAACAGACAGATTAACACAGGGGAGGAGGAAGCAGAGATCGTGTTGAACAAGGCCAGACTTGAGGCAGGTCTTTTATCAAACACATTTTAATCCAGGCTCAGACACAAAGGGCTTTGTGTGTGTGATACATGCTTAGTTTATGCCCAATCACAAGGGGTGCTGTGAGCAAAAGCACACTCAAGTTAAAAAAGAAGCACACGCCGGAACGCACTAAACATTACAAATAAAACTAAACTAACACACAACAAAGTGTCATGGTGGTTTTCACCCGCAGCGCCAGTTTCACAGTATAAGAACAGACATCAATATAATGCCTCATATTAAAAACATACTGCTCAAATATTTTTTCCCCCTCAGTCATCCAGATAGATTCCATGGCAAAGAAGAAATTTGTCAACTGGACAAAGTTTTGCGTATTCGACCAAAAAAAACTTTTGTCCAGTTGACAAATTGAATCAATTCATTGAATCAATTCAGTTCTGAAGAAGTGGCTTGGATGAGCTAGGAAATGTATTCAACCAAAAAAACTTTTGTCCAGTTGACAAATAGAATTTCTCCTTTGCCATAGTGCTCATTACATTTTAAACCTTTTACTGTTTGCCACACTTTGTCCTTTTGGTCAATATAACCTTGGACTTGAATGATTTGAAATATTAGTCAATAATAGAGTTGGTTCATAAACTTCACCAGTGTTTCTGGGCTGATATGTAGGGTCCATTTAGCAAATCAAGAGAATGCAAAAAGGATCTTTTCAAACTTCCAAAATTGTTAACCAATAGTGTCTCTAGTTGAAAGCCTTTGCATTTGCAGTCAGGCACTTGAAACTTGTTGGCGTGCAGTAAATTTCCTCAAAAGTTTCAACTCTGCTGTCTGCGCCTATAGATTAAAAGTGCCACATGAATGCTCAAGATGCACTGGGATATGTTCAACTAGCGAGAAGCGCGTCCCCCATAGACAGCCAATACAATAAACGGTGAATGGCCCAATATATCTCGAACAGTTTCTTTTATAATTATAGCCAAAGTAATATGCATGATCATCCAAGACACATAGTGCACAGGTTTCATAACACAGAAATCGTCACGTCTGATCCTGTGCAAACAGTCAAGAAGAATCTAACCTCCTCTGGATATAATTTGGTTTCTTCACCTTCAGCTGCAGGTTAAAAATAGAGAAAAAGTGAGATTGATGACGGCAGTGTGAGGAGCTTGTTAGCACCAATTTCATTCCAGAGAGACAGTAAGGAGAAAAAGTTTATGATATCGAGCTTCTATTCCACAAATAAAATGGACCACAGTAGATGATAGTTTGTGCCACTACAAAGTCTGTATAAATATATTTCATTGCCAGAGGAAATACATGTACAAAGGTACACCAATACAAAATATGTGGAAAATGGAGGATGTAACCTGGGGAGTCTGTTAAAAAGCCCAAATCTGAATTTGAATTGGATCTAGATTTATTTTAAATGTAATTAATTGTATGGTGCCATCTAAGAGGCAGTCCAAAATCAAAATCAACAATGAGGATGTTCTGTCACTGAAGACTGAAGAATGAGCCTAATCAGCAGATGACATTTGTGCCACTCATCTCCATATGACGAAGACAAATAGCATTTTCTACATCAAAGTCTAGTGAGTCATGTCGATCTGACCAGAGTCCAGCAGCACCAACAAAGAACGCTGTATTAGACTGAACAACTGCTGCAGAAGAGGAAGACACAGGGGGAAAGCAGAGCAGACCAAAATACAGAGGTCTTATGGACATTAGGGATGGTACGATTTAAAATGTCATCACGGACTTCACAATTATTTATAATTACTATATCCGACATCATGACCAAACAGTGAAACCCTCCTTCTCATTAATACAATACGAATACTCTAGTATGTGACCAGCTTGATCTTTTCTTAAGGGTTGTTTGTCACAAACTATTTTCTTGTTATTAATAATAAAGTACCTGAATAATCATGATTATTGATTGATTATTCAGTTATTATTTATTGAAGTGTGAAAACTGCACCCCTGCTTTAGGAAATTGAAAAAAACAAGAACAAGAAGATTGTTAAAGTCCTCAACATGGGAATATAAACCCATGAAAATTATTAGGTGTATTGCACTTAATTTTAATTTAATTTCAGCTCTAGGTTCTTGCATGGCATTGGGGGTGGGTGATGTAAGCAAAAAATTATATTTTTTCTTATTATTATTATCATCAACATGACTGAATATATTTTACAACACATCCTCCTCCACATGGCACAGTACATTTAAATTTGTTAGATTTTTCAGCATGATCAAATTAATGACTCCTGTCTGAACACATTAGTTTCTGTCTTTTGTTTCTTTCCTTCAGTTGCACAGACTCTTTGACAGGAGCCTTATAAATCTCTCACGCAGCACCATTGTCACACATTCCAGGAGAACTCTGCATGTCACGTCCTGCCTCCTCTGTTCAGACAGTCCTCCTTTACTCTGTTTTTGATTGAAGGATGAGAGGAGCACAGAGCACTTTTACTTTTAAGCAGTCCAGTGTCGGCACAAGCTCAATCACAACTGTTGGTTTAAGATTATAGAAAGTGACGTCATTCCCAGATGGGGGCAGCAGTCAAGAGTCCTGTATCAATGATAAAAAAGGTAACAAAAATGGAAAATCCACAAATACTGGCCCTGAAAATTGCTACTACACACAATTCACATAATCACATGCTTGTCTAGGGATATATACTCCAAAATTGACTTACAACTATGCCTGCACTTCACTAAAGAAATGTGACTAAAATCAGTGACAATAGGCACCATAATAAAAATAGTGGTCAACTAAGACACCATCGCCCTATCCATGTTTTAACAACTTTAAACCAGGACAGTCCCCATCTCATTTTAACCAGCAGACCAGAATGTCAAGATGTCAATCTGAAATCCAGCAATTTCAAAAAGATAAATAACATAATTTGAGTCATTCTTGGTATAACTATAAGTTTACAAGATATTACATTATATTATAGAAATAACTTTTTAAATTATGTGAAAAGTGCAATGCAATGTTTCTTATTTTTGAAACATATAAGGAGGTTAGCAACTAGCACTCAAATGTCTAGAAAGCCTGAAAAGTCTGACCATTACATTCAGAGTAAGTCAAGCCACATCAGCTGACCACAAACCAATAAAAGGGCTCTTTACAACTAAAAGTCGTCATTTATACTTTATAATTGTCCATGACAAGTCAGAAAGCTACTACAGTAATGTTACTTGAAAATAAAGGTGTAAAAGGCTTGTATTACACATTACAGAGCAAGATTTAACAGAGTTCTGGCAACATAAACCTTAATTTATCTTTTTAAGTTAGTGTCCATGAAGAAGATGCTCTCTCAAAACTGTCAGTGTTCATTGATATTTTTGTGGTAAGAGTTTCAAACTGTTCTGCTCACTAAAAGCCAGCACAGTTATTCATTCACTGTAAGCAAGACAAACTTGCAATTGCAAAGGCAACGCTAAGTAGGATAGCTTACAATCTACAAGGCTAAACTACTTACAAACCGGAGCTAAGACTTAACACAGTTATCCCAACACTTGATCCTGTTGAATAGAGAGATGTCAATGCAATGGGAGGAGGCGAATAGCTCAAGTCATGTTTCATTAATTTCTAACTATACAACTAATACTACTAATAGTAATAGTAGAGCTGGTAATAAGTAATATGATCTCAGTTTTATTTTATTTAAAGGTGCAATGTTTAACTTTACTGGTGGAGGGTCGGCCACCTGCTTGTCTTCATGTGGATGTTAGTGTTTTGCCCATCTACTGAATTCTCCATGGAGTAGATCCAGTAGAATACAGGTCATTACAGGAGTACAGGAATACAGGAGTGGTGACACCTCTCACATCTCTACATCTCTAATTGAATAATTGAAACATGTTGAAGTTTAATGATGAAGTTGAAGTTGATGAAGATTAATGCCATAGTGTTGAACATTGCAAGAATAGCAATCTATTCATGAAGACAATCAAAGTTTTGAACCTAAGATCAGAAACGTTACGTAGTGCACCTTCCTTTAAAATGCAGTGAGTTTACTCTCTGAAAATATCAAATGGACTTCCGCCTCTGCTTTTTTTTATACCCTTTTAGTTGTAGTTGCTCAGACAGAGTTGAGGTGAAGCTGTGGTTTGGCTTGCTCTGCGCTGACTCAGGGCTGGTCACACATTTGGCCAAAGGGAGCTCTGTGTGTTAGCACTGGCCCAGGTCCAAAAGCCTCAGAGCCATCCTGATCCAGACTGGACCAGGACAGATCAGAGCTAATGCATGACAACTAGAGTGCCTCATACAGTAGCATCAATAGCTAACACTGTGGGTATGGAAGTTCATATAATTATTTGATGATTTAGTTTAAAGTTTCTGACTTTAAGCTTTGACTCAGATTTAACATGATTTTGGCTAATTTGGTTGACTTCTTTATAACCCTGGTTTTGTCCAATTCTTCAGATGTGGTTGCACTCTGGTTGGGATACACTTCCTGTGCCACAGAAAAATCTCTATTTAAAATACCAGAATAGATTTTCCAAGTTTTACACAAAATTACAATAAATTGTTCATTGTGATACATGGTAAGACTTTGACAGTCCCTGGTCTTGTGAATGGAGGGCCTGAGTGTGACATAAGTGTAGACATATAAAGCACATGTACAGTAGATACGCCCCTCTGAGTGCCCTGTGCTCTCCAGCTGTCTCCTCTCCACACTCACAGGAAGGAAATGTGCCACCGCTGTAAGCTGAAGGAGAGGCAAAAAATACTCCAGCTATGTGGGCACTGGACATACGCTATGTAATTTAGACTCCATGGCATTTCTGGGTCAAGCAGCAGTTGTACCACTGTCAACATTTTTACTAAAGTAAATGATTTTTTTTTTTTTTAAATCACATAACAAAGGCTGCAATTTTTAGGAATTTATTTTATTTATTTTTATTTATTTATGTATTTATGTATTTGTGTATTCATTTATTTATTTATTTATTTGAGACAGGGACAGCGCACAATTTTTGCATTTTACCTTAACAGGAGAGATGCATTGTACATCAGGTTGTAGCATCAGTGCTAATTTCCACCTGTAGTCCCTGGACAGATTCATTGATCGATTGTATTTAACTGACCTGGACTATCAACTGTTCTGGAGACCTATGTAGCAAGTTTTGGGTTGATGGGGGAAACCGGAGCGCCCGGAGGAAACCCATAATACAGCTCAGTCAATATCTGTTATGCATATTTGTATTGATTTAAAATGTTCTTTGTAACTGAATTGATTAAAAAATATACACACTTAGCTCATTTTCTTGCCATTTAAGTCGAGTTTTAGAGCTGACATCTTTAAGCTCCATCATGAATACCACATCAACAGATCCAGATTGACAGGCTGATTTCTGAAGTGACCCAGCAGATGTAATGTTGTAACTGCTTCATGTGATTGGTATACAGAAATAAGCAAAAGTCTTGATACAGACTGATATTCTAGAGGAATACAAATAATTATTTAAATAGTTGAGTTGAGTCATTGTACACCGCAATTTTTTAAATACTTTTTAACCAACAAAAGTGTATAATTTATAACTAAATTGTTTATTATTTTTGTCCATTTTGATTTTGACTTTTTAGTTTAATATTAGAATATATTTGCAATGTTAATAAAAGTAGTAACATTTTTAAAGCAACCATGACAAATTGCATCTCTCACTAACATTTTTAGAAAACCAGTTCCATCTTTGCCATCAGCATTTGTTGAATCATAAATTACTACGCAAGTGAAAGAAGTATACAAAACAGTACAGGTCTACACATGCATTTATGAAACCAGATTCCTCTCTTATTTCACAGGATGTTGCACCTCAGATATGTTTGTGTTAATGCTCAGAAAACACAACTCTTTTATACAACTTAATCTAATTTATTACAGTCATTCAATAAAGTAAACAAAATACCAGTGTTGTTAAGATGTCATTAAGAAAAATTACTGCAGAGTCTCACAATCAGAGTGTGACCCAGATTCAACAAGGAAGTTATAGTCAAAGCTATAAAAGCAGGTTACTGTTACCACGTTGATCATTTTAAAAAACAGATTTACAATATAGTAATACTTTCTATATGTTACCAAGTAATCTTACACTAGTTTTGATATAGCACAAAAAGTGTTTATTTGTGTAAGTGTCCTATTTGTCTAATGAGTATCTAGTTTCAGTCATATTTTTTTCATCTACATATCAAGCATAAGTAAAGACAGAGTAAGTCCCGATATAGTGCTATTTTGTGTGTTAATCATTAGAGGACAGTGTCATAATCTGGTCTTTTTGTTTTAGCACATGTCCCAAAGCGGTGCCTGCTCCGGGAGCGTGGATACGTGCCCATCATTCAAATGAAAACACAGGCAGCAGGTGTAACCAAAAGAGAGAGAGGAAGAGAGAGGGAAAAAGAGAGGGGCTACCCAACAGAGACAGAAATAGAGAGAGAAAAAGAATAAAAAGAGAGTGAGACAGAAAGAAAAAGACAAAAGGCAAAGAGATATAGCGAAAAGCGAAAAGAGAGTATGAGACTGTGAAAGAGAGGGAAAGAAGGGAGCGAGGGAGAGAGAGAGACACACAGAAAGGGAGAGAAAGAGATCAGAGTGAGCTGGAGACGGACAGAAAAAGGAGGAGGAGCGAATGAAAGAATAAAAAAGAAAAAACTCAACCTCAGTTTGTAAGTGGGACACACCCTTACTGTGCATTACAAGCCCGTCATTACGCAGCCTCACAAATGATAGCCCTGCTTAAAACAACTGACCGTGCAGCAAAACTCCACTCTCAACCAACAACAGTAAATCTAGGGGCAAATAAAGAAATAAAAAAATAAAAATAAAATAGACCCATTCCATCATTTTGGACATGTCTTTAACAAGGGAGTTTTCCTCAAAGAAGCAGCATGTCAAAACTTGCTTATCTCTCCTTGTGTACAGGCTGCTGCTACAGGTCAACAATGGGAAGACTTCAGGCTATTTGCCAAAAAATGTCAGGCATTTGTCCATACTGTAAGACTAATAAAACTTAAGTGAAATTAGTAATACAGCACCACATGTAGATTTTTATCACCATAAACATACTTGAAAGTATAACAGACCAGCTTTTCAAGTCATATAAGTTGATCATTAGAAATGTTAGTGGGAGTTTTGAATTCAAAACATTGCTATCTGCAACCTTGCATGAGTACATGATATGCCATTCCACATTCTTCTATTGGTTTCCAAGTATAAATATTAGATTATAGAGAGAAAGACAACCACAACAATAACCAAACATATCAAGTCAAGTATAATTGTTTTTAAGTTACAAGGCAATCCTGATGAACATAGAGAGCTATTTCAACCAAGCATTGAAAATGAAGCAAGGTTGAAAATGAAGCAAGTTCATGAAGTAAAGCTGAGGATGTAACTGTAGACATTTCTCAAACTATAAATTTAAAGTGGACTAAAAAGCTTTTCTAGTTGAGGGTCCCCCACCTGCTTGTCTCTTGGAGATGTTGCTTTGCAATGCAATGCAAAGGAATGCCTCACAATATATCATTAAATTTATGTATCCTGCATGTATTCCATTACTGGATTTTATCCTCAAAAAATATCTAATCAGGATGCCTTCTTACTGTGAACATATCTGACCTGTAACTTTGCCCTATGGCATCATTTGCTTGTCTATTAAAAGATAAATAAGTTTTACACTATACTGGGAATATTCCAATGAAATCTTTATGGGAAACACGCAGGTGACGGACCCTCCACCCGAAAAGTTAGAGCACCTTTAAAATACTCTCTTAATTATCACTAAAAAGCATTTTTAAACTAACATCCTATTAGAAAACAATAATACTATTTCTCAGTAACGCAGGCCTGGTTTAAACTGTAAACTGAGAAGCCGTCAGAATAAAAGGCGCAACAAACACGCCTGCACCTTACCACACCCCACAAGAGCAGCGGAAACAGCAGCGCTTACAGACTCATATAACAGGTTTTACTTTAGTAGCACCTCTCTCTCTCCCCCCTTTGACTACTTCTAATCTACTCACCCCCCTCTAGTCTCCACCGACGTGACCACATCAAATGACAGCTGCTAAAACAAGAGAGCTAGCCTAATAATACACCTACTACAATGAACGATTTAGACTTGAAGAAGTGAATCACAGGCCACAGTTACTCCAGTGTTTCGAAGAGAGAGAGGGCGTTCTTTCAGGTACAATGAATAATGGCTCAGTGATAACGGAGCTGGACTTTGCCTCCTGGCTGGTTGGCGGTAACCGAGAGGTGGTTACTTCCTTGATGCTCACCTACTCTCAAAATCTCCTCCTTTATAACGTTAAAATGGTGAAAATATTGACTTCATAATTGCTATAATGAATAAAATAAATCAGATACAAGTAAATAACTGTGGAACTAGGTATAATATTAATAGACAATTGTGATCTAAAAAGTATAATATTTAGTATAATGGGTTGTCGATATAGCAACTCCAGTGTCTTCATAATAATGCAAAGCCTATAAAATAGCAGTTATGACACAACATAGGGGACCACATTAAAACATTAACAAATGTATTCATAAATTTATAGCCAAAAAATACAGAGGGCTGTATTCATATTTGCCAGATGTATTATTTAAATATAATCTGGGCAATCTAAACAAATATGCCTACTAATCAATTATTTGTCAATGTTTAACCACAATACAATAATAAATTTCCATACTTAATTTACAAGCTATTTAAACAAGAAATCACAACTTTTTCTGCACTAAATATCACATGAAAGAGCACTGTACTTACCATAAGGTCAGTATTAAAATGTTTAACCTGTAAACTTCTATAACATACTCACACACTAGTTTGAACGACACCAATCATGTTAGCCACTGCCATGCTAGCATGCTAACTCTGCGTCTACCCACAACATGCAAGTTCGCCGCCATCAAACTACTTTTTCCTCAGCAAAGACATAATCCAGGTGTTTGTGCGTAGTTTTACCCACGAAACACGCATAGTTACCTATTCAGAAGACAGTTTAGACTGTTTTCTCAAAGTCCATAAGTGCTTTTGAGGTCGACGGTAGGCCTAGCACAGCCGAAAGAGCTGCTGCCACTGCTCCGATACAATACAAGAAACCTCGGAAAAGTGAGTTGAAATCCGGCGGAAAATTCTCCAAACGTGGCAAAACAACCAACCGAAAGGTAAAATAAATAAGCGTTGCACACAGCCGGACGGGGACTCACACTGAAAAAGAGAAAACACCCACCTTCGCGATTTCCTATCCTATCTTCCTTGCGTTGTTGTTCACTTGTCTCTGCTCTTCCTCTCCGCTGGGGGCAAGAGGAGGGGGCTACGGGCAAAAACAAAAATCACAATATTACATCAACATAATTTCGACTACAAAGTTTACTAGAGCTCTTTATAATTATTTTAAATTCCACAATTTTTTTCTGTTTGTTTGTTTGTACTGAGGAAACAATGATTTACTAATGTTTTGATGATATGGGTTTGGAAGTGGTGTGTTTTAAAATCCTCTGCTACCCCCGCGTGGTCAAAGTCTGAAATGAAAATGTCATTAAAAAAGAAGGGCGCATTACCTGTGTCAAAATGTGGAAGTGAAGTGGAGAAAGCAGTCTGAAAATAACTCGTAAATGTGCTAGTCTATTAAAATTAACATAATTTTTCCAGCAAAACTAACAGGTCTACCCAACCTGTAAGTAAAAAATATTCTATATGGAGAACACTGAAAAAGGCTACAGATTTTCAGAGCTACAACATTGCCCCTATGCTGCAGAAAAAAAGTGTGTTTTATTGAATTGCTATTGTTATAGGAAGAACTGGGTGATATGACCAAAAAAAAAAAAAAAAAAAAAAAAAAAAAAAAAAAGAATCCAATCTCAATTGTGATATGCCATAAACCCAATTGACCCAAAACAGTAATGACCTCTCAGAAGAATAATTGTATTATTTATTATTATGTTCCATGGTATGACATTAAACACATCTATCTAGCATTTATTCATTACGGGTGTTTCTGTTGCACAAAAATACATGAAATCTCTCTGTGAATAGGCTTGCCTTATTACAGATATGACCTGTAAAGTAAACAGTTGTCTCCCTTGAGATAGGTTTAATCTCTACTATGAAACATTCTAGACAAAGCAATAATATTGTCAGACAAGCAGGTGACAGATTCTTCACCAGAAAAGTTGCATAATGCACCTTTAATATTATAATAGCACCAGTCATTTCTGTTATTTAAGTAAGAATAGTGGTGGCTGTAAATGCACATGCATAGATGGTTAATGTCTCTAATCTTTAAGGGTCCCCTCCTTGAACCGTCACCTTATCGTGGTGGAGGGGTTTGAGTGCCCAAATGATCCCGGGAGCTATGTTGTCGGGGGCTTCATGCCCCTGGTAGGGTCACCCAAGGCAAACAGGTCCGGGGGGACGGGTCAGATGAAGAACGGTTCAGAAGCCCCACATGATGAGTTACACACAGAGGCCAGTTACGTCGCCCGGATTGGCGTCACTGGGGCCTCACCCTGGAGCCAGGCCTGGGGTGGGTGCTCGTCAGCGAGCGCCTGGTGGCTGGGCCTTCCCCCACGGGGCCCGGCCGGGCTTAGCCCGAAGGAGTGACGTGGGGCCGTCCTCACGTGGGCCCACCACCCGCGGGAGGAGCCATATGGGGCCGGTGCAGAGAGATCTGGGCGGCAGTCGACGGCGGGGGCCTCAACGACCGGATCTCCCGACATGGAGACTAGCTCTGGGGACATGGAATGTCACCTCGCTGGGGGGGAAGGAGCCTGAGCTTGAGCGGGAGGTTGAGCGTTACCTACTAGATATAGTCGGCCTCACCTCCACGCACAGTTTGGGCTCTGGAACCCAACTCCTTGAGAGGGGCTGGACTCTCCATTTCTCTGGCGTTGGCCGCGGGGAGCGGCGGCAGGCTGGTGTGGGCCTGCTCATTGCCCCACAGCTCAGCCACTGTGTGTTGGAGTTCACCCCGGTGAACGAGAGGGTCGCGTCCCTGCGCCTTCGGGTCGGGGACAGGTCTCTCACTGTGGTGTCGGCCTATGGGCCGAACAGCAGTGCTGAGTACCCGGCCTTCTTGGAGTCCTTGGGAGGGGTACTAGACAGTGCACCGACCGGGGACTCCGTTGTTCTCCTGGGGGACTTCAACGCCCACGTGGGCAACGACAGTGACACTTGGAGAGGGGTGATTGGGAGGAACGGCCTCCCTGATCTGAACCCGAGCGGTGTTTTGTTATTGGACTTCTGTGCTAGTCACGGTTTGTCCATAACGAACACCATGTTCGAGCACAAGGGTGTCCATAAGTGCACGTGGCACCAGGACACCCTGGGCCGGAGGTCGATGATCGACTTTGTAGTCGTGTCATCTGATCTCCGGCCGCGTGTCTTGGACACTCGGGTGAAGAGAGGGGCTGAGCTGTCAACTGATCACCACCTGGTTGTGAGTTGGGTTCACTGGCGGAGGAGGAAGCCGGAAAGACCTGGCAGGCCCAAGCGTGTAGTGAGGGTCTGTTGGGAACGTCTGGCGGAGCCCTCTGTCAGAGGGACTTTCAACTCGCACCTCCGGGAGGACTTCTCCCGGATTCCGGGGGAGGCTGGAGATATGGAGTCCGAGTGGACTTCATTTTCGGCCTCTATTGTCGATGCGGCTGCTCGGAGCTGTGGGCGTAAGGTCTGTGGTGCCTGTCGCGGCGACAATCCCCTAACCCGGTGGTGGACACCGGAAGTAAGGGATGCCGTCAAGCTGAAGAAGGAGTCCTATAGGGCCTTGCTAGCTCGGGGGACTCCTGAAGCAGCTGACGGGTACCGGCGGGCCAAGCGTGCTGCAGCACGCGGAGGCAAAAACACGAAGCTGGGAGGAGTTGGGGGAGGCCATGGAGAAGGACTATCGGACAGCCTCAGAGAGATTCTGGCAAACCGTCCGGCGCCTCAGGAGGGGGAAGCAGTTCTTCGCCAACACTGTTTACAGTGCGGGGGGAGAGCTGCTGAACTCGACTGGGGACGTTGTCCGAATACTTTGAGGATCTCCTCAATCCCACCGTCACGTCTTCCGAGGAGGAGACCGAGGCTGGGGACTCAGAGGCGGACTCATCCATCACCCTGGCTGAAGTCACTGAGGTGGTTGGAAAGCTCCTTGGTGGCAAGGCTCCGGGGTTGGATGAGATCCGTCCTGAGTACCTTAAGTCTCTGGATGTTGTGGGGCTGTCTTGGCTGACACGCCTCTTCAACATCGCGTGGCGGTTGGGGACAGTACCTCTGGACTGGCAAATCGGGGTGGTGGTCCCTCTGTATAAGAAGGGGGACCGGAGGGTGTGCTCCAACTATAGGGGGATCACGCTCCTCAGCCTTCCCGGTAAGGTCTATGCCAGGGTACTGGAGAGGAGAATCCGGCCGATAGTCGAACCTCAGATCCAGGAGGAGCAGTGTGGTTTTCGTCCTGGCCGTGGAACACTGGACCAGCTCTACACTCTCCATAGGGTGCTCGAGGGTTCATGGGAGTTTGCCCAACCAGTCCACATGTGCTTTGTGGACTTGGAGAAGGCATTCGACCGTGTCCCTCGTGGTGTCCTGTGGGGGGTGCTCTGGGAGTATGGGGTCCGGGGCCCTTTGCTAAGGGCTGTCCGGTCCCTGTATGACCGGAGCAGGAGCTGTGTTCGCATTGCCAGCAGTAAGTCAGACCTGTTCCCGGTGCATGTTGGACTCCGCGAGGGCTGCCCTTTGTCACCGGTTCTGTTCATTGTGTTTATGGACAGAATTTCTAGGCGCAGTCAGGGGCCGGAGGGGGGCCGGTTTGGGGACCACAGGATCTCATCTCTGCTGTTTGCGGATGATGTTGTCCTGTTGGCTTCTTCGAACCAGGACCTGCAATGTGCACTGGGGCGGTTTGCAGCCGAGTGTGAAGCGGCTGGGATGAAGATCAGCTCTTCTAAGTCTGAGGCCATGGTTCTCGACCGGAAAAAGGTGGCTTGCCCTCTCCGGGTGGGTGGGGAGTCTTTGCCTCAAGTGGAGGAGTTCATGTATCTCGGGGTCTTGTTCACGAGTGAGGGAAGGACGGAACGTGAGATTGACAGGCGCCTCCCTCGGGAGGTGTTCCAGGCATGTCCCACCGGGAGGAGGCCCCGGGGAAGATCCAGGACACGCTGGAGGGACTATGTCTCTCGGCTGGCCTGGGAACGCCTCGGGGTCCCCCCGGAGGAGCTGGAGGACGTGTCTGGGGTGAAGGAAGTCTGGGAGTCCCTGCTTAGGCTGCTGCCCCCGCGACCCGGCCCCGGATAAGCAGACGAAAATGGATGGATGGATGGATCTTTAAGGGTCATTGCACACTCCTCTGCTCAGTTTGATGTGAAATAACAGTTCTACTGTATGTAATAATATACAGTTGCTGTTTTAAACAACAAATCGTATATATTGTACAATAAACTGTTGGTGCTGTTGTCTTATTTCACATTACATACAGTCTGTTCTCTCAAAATATGTCATATATCATATTGATATTGGCCAAAATCATCTCAAGTCTATATGAGACTCACACTCTTATGTGATAATTTAGGCTGACAAACAGCATTTAAGTATTTTCTATTTGCACAATTAAATGATCATAAAACAGCCTGAGTCTTGACAAAGGCTTAAAGTCTGAAGTGTTTGTGCTGTTCATAGACTGTATACATAAATATTGTTCTTTCTGCTCTGTGTGAAGCACAGACTTTATTCTCATGTCTGTGATACGTTCACAGGGGCAAAGACATTGACACTGTCAGGAAAATGAAACCTATGAAATTTATAAAGGTTTATATTATTGAGCTGAGGATTTATAAACCTCTAAAATGCACGGGCATGTGACAAACTGCACAGTCTCTACAAAACTTTCCTGGGGAGGGGCATGGAATGATGGAAATAGATAGATAGATAGATAGATAGATAGATGGAGATTTGATGGATGGATAGATAGATAGATATAGCAGTTTCCGACAGTGATTTCGGCGGTGCTGCCGAGGATTCACGTGGTTCTGAGGGACGTAGTCAAGGTTGTCAAGGTTGTCTTGTTGTCAAGGCGGCCGCTTTAACTAAAAAGTGCTACACTGGACAGACAGACAGATCTATGCTGAGTTCTTTTAAAAATGGCGCTCACCTGCACAGGTAAGGTACCTGTCACCAGATGACCTGGCACCGGGGAGCCGACCCGACTCGTTTTCTTTGTTGACAGCTTCACTAAAATCACTCTT